ATTTCATCCAGCCCCCAGGATTTTGGGGATAACACAGTGCTGTGGTCAGTGACAAGGAAGCCTCACCCCAACCCCATCCCCTTCCTGGCTCACTGCTGTTATCTGGGGGTGTTCAATGGCTGCTGAGGGGGTTTGTGCTGTGTTTGTCATTGTAGGGGACAGGGAGGGGGTTGGCAGGATTTCCTGGGTGAAACAGCAACCCAAGATTGGTGTCACCTGATGGTGGTGTGACAAGAAATGTGTTTGTGGGATTCCATCCAGCCCCCATATTCCAGGATTTTGGGGATAACACAGTGTGACAAGGAAATGTGTTTGTGGGATTCCATCCATCCAGCCCCCAGGATTTTGGGGGTAACACAGTGTGACAAGGAAATGTGTTTGAGGGATTCCATCCAGCCCCCATATTCCAGGATTTTGGGGATAACACAGTGTGACAAAGAAATGTGTTTGTGGGATTCCATCCAGCCCCCCACAATCCAGGATTTTGGGGATAACACAGTGCTGTGGTCAGTGAAAAGGAAATGTGTTTGTGGGATTCCATCCAGCCCCCCACATTCCAGGATTTTGGGGGTAACACAGTGCAACAAGGAAATGTGTTTGTGGGATTCCATCCAGCCCCCAGGGTTTTGGGGATAACACAGTGTGACAAGGAAATGTGTTTGTGGGATTCCATCCAGCCCCCCACATTCCAGGATTTTGGGGATAACACAGTGCTGTGGTCAGTGACAAGGAAATGTGTTTGTGGGATTTCATCCATCCAGCCCCCAGGATTTTGGGGATAACACAGTGTGACAAGGAAATGTGTTGGTGGGATTCCATCCATCCAGCCCCAACATTCCAGGATTTTGGGGATAACACAGTGTGACAAGGAAATGTGTTTGTGGGATTTCATCCAGCCCCAAACATTCCAGGATTTTGGGGGTAACACGGTGTGACAAGGAAATGTGTTTGTGGGATTCCATCCATCCCCAACATTCCAGGATTTTGGGGGTAACACAGTGCGACAAGGAAATGTGTTGGTGGGATTCCATCCATCCAGCCCCAGCATTCCAGGATTTTGGGGATAACACAGTGTGACAAGGAAATGTGTTTGTGGGATTCCATCCAGCCCCCCAGGATTTTGGGGATAACACAGTGTGACAAG